GAGGGAGATAAACATCAAAGTGAGAGTGAAACATCATCAATCATTTGCTTCTCACATGCACCCCAACTGGGGATGAAACCCGCAGTGTAGGTATGTACCCTGACTGGGAATCAAACCGACAACCTTTCGGTGTACGGGACAACGCTCCAACCAACTTAGCCACCCAGCCAGGGTGAAAATTGGTGTTTTCCATAAACACTTGAAACAAGAAAGACAGTAGGTTAACAACATTAGAAATAATATTAATGGTGCTAACAGAACACAGAAGCAAACCAATCATAAACTTAAAAATTGTAATAAAACAAAAATGGTTACTGCCTAGGTCCTAATAGAAAATATAAACCAAATAAAAGATAATTGGGCTAGGAGTATTTGGATACTACTTTATTATATTCATTTTATAAGTAACTCCTTTTTTGTAATCAATAATTATCATGAAAACAGGTTGTAACTTCACACTTACTTTAAATTTATATCTCCCTCATTCTCATGCATTTGCTGAAATAAAAGGTTCTTTGGTAGGGGGAATTAATAAAATTGATAAATTTCTAGCTAGACTAATAAAGGAAATTTTTTTTAAAGACACAAAGTATCCTATCAGGAATGAGAAAGAGAACATTACTACAGATCTTATAATAAAAGATTGTTATGATCAACTTTATGCCAATAAATTTAAAATTTAGATGAAATGAATATAAATTGTCAAAACAGATACAAGAAAAAGAAGAAACTCTGGCTAGCCATAGATCTGTGTTTAAAAGTTGAATGTATAAATTTAACACCTTCCCACATAAATAACTCATGGCTTAGGTGGCTTCACTAGTTAATTCTATCAAATATGTAATTCACCCTTTAACAGACTCAAAAAGATCATCAACAGAGGGAGAAAAGCATTTGATGAAATTAAGCACTTACTCATGTTAAAAATAAACTACTAAAAAACTAAGATTAAAAGGGAACTGCCTCAATCTGATAAAAAGCATCCACAAAAACCCTACAACAGCATACTTAATAGTGGAAAAGCTGAACATTCCCTCTTTAGGATCAAGAACATGGCAAAAAAGTCATTCTCAACAACTGTCTTCATTCAACATGGTACTAAGATTTAATCAGTACAGTATGCCAAAAATTTGTTTTAATAAACTAAGATATAAAGATATATAGATTGGAAAGGAAAAAGTAAATAATTTGCAGATGACCAGGATAAATAAAGAACTACAATTCAACAATAAAAATAAAAACAACCCAAATAAAAAATGGACACTTGAACAGGCACTTCACAAAAGAAATATAATTGCTAATAAGCATATGGAGATTACAATGCCACTAGTCATCAGGGAAATACGAAGTAAAAATCACAATGAGGTAACACTGTACATTCACGAGAATGGGTAAATTCAAAATTCTGATAATATCAAGTGTTAGTGAAGAGTGGAGCAACTAGAATTTTCATGCTTGCTGATTAAGAATTTAAAATGTTACTACTTTGAAAAATCATTTGTCAAGTTTCCTATAAGGTAAACATATAATTTAGCAATTTTTTTTTTTAAAAAAGATTTTATTTTTAATGTGCAAGAGAAACATCAATTGCCTCTCGCATGCCCCCAACTGGGGACCTAGCCTGCAACCCAGGGATGTATGTGCCCTGACTGGGAATGGAACTGGTCAACTGGCAACCTTTCAGTTTGCAGGCCAGCATTCAACCCACTGAGCCACACCAGCCAGGGCTATAACCTAGCAATTTCACTCCTCTGGGTTTACCCAGAAGAAGAAAAATAAACATCCACAAAAAGACCCATATACCAACAGCTCAATTTGTAATAGCCCCAAACTGGAAACAACCTAAATGTCCATCAACAGATAAACGAATTGTGGTATACTCAAACAATTTGGCTCCCTGGCCAAAAAACAAAAAACAAAAAGGAAAATTTAAAGAGAAAGAGGGCAATTTCATAATATTGACAGGTTAATATTACTAGTAATATGACCTATCAAAATTACGCACCCTGGTATGGCTCTTTAGAAGGGCACATAATTTCTGTGGTATTCTTCCCAACCATGCACAACAAACACTTCAGTCTATTTCTTAATTTTTATAATTGTACTATGATCAAACAAGATATTACCATTAGGGTAAAGGCAAACTCTATTATTTTTACAACTCTTCGGTAGACCTAAAAATTATTTCAAAATAAAAAGTTTTAAAATGTTAGAGGTTAAAAAAAAAACAAAACAAAACCCTACTTCTGACAGACACAACAAGAAGAATGAATCACTAAAACATTGTGCTAGACAAAAGAAGCCAGAAATAAGAGTATATAGTATATGATTCCATTAATATGAAATTCTGGAAAAAGCAAAATTAATTTATAGTAACAAAAGCCCTGGGGCAAAGGGGACAGGAGAGAGAACTGACCTCAAAGAGGCAATGAGGGCACTTTTTTGAGTGATGGGAACATACCTTGATTGTGGTGGTGACAACAGAGGTACATACATTTTGTCAAACTCATTATTTATATGTTCAAAATTCATGTGTTTCACTGCATGTAACTTATTCCTCAAAAATGTTTATTAAAATTTTATAAATAATTCATATTTAAAAGTATATCATTGAAAAATTAGTGTATACTGGGTAAAGTACCATGACTGATTCTTAAACTGATATAATAAAATTTATGCACCCAAACCATTCATTCAATAAATATTTACTGGGCACCTACTATATGCCAGGCTTTAGGTAGCACATAGACTATAAATGTGAAAAAGAAAGGCTTTGTCCTTATATGCAAGTAAACAAGCTGCATATGACATAAATTGCACTGAGGAATAATGTACCCAAGATTGTACAGAGAAGACTATGTCTCAGAGAATGCTTCAGAGAGGAAACAGACCCTTGCAAAGAATTTACCCTGTGAGTCCATTACATTTATTCCAGGGATATGAATCCCAATTACTCCAAAGTGCTAAAAAACAAACAAGCAAACAACCACCACCACCATCACCACTTATTTTAGTCTTGTCTTCGTGGCATGTTTTTATGATGTAAAGTCCTTAGCAGCATTTCAAAGATATAATTTGTTTTTTAAATAGCCAAGTTATTCACAGACAAATTCAATGAATAACAGTCTAGAAAACAGGTGAGTGTATAGTCAATATATTTGTCTTTTATGTGCTGGATGAAGTAGAAGCAATACCAAAGGAAGAGTAACAATGTTTTTTACCCAACATGGACTTGCTGGAATAATACATAGTCTCCCTCAAGATGACTATTTCAAACTGCTTTGTCCTGGTTTGTTTATTTGTTTGGTGGGGCGGGGTGAGCTTATTACTTTGGAATTATACCTCACTATAAATTGTCACTATTCAAATGATAATTTAAACTTATTATATATACATGTGCTTAGGTTTGAATCTTATTCCAACTATATCACAGTTAAGTCCTTGAACAAAGGCCTTAATGTCTTTATTAAGTGTCTTCTGTAAAATGGAGATGATAATAGTATCTTCCTCATAGGGTTTTTATAAGTATTAAATATCCAATGAAATAATCCATGCATTAAATGAAATAATCTGTGTAAAACACTTATAACAGAGTGTGGCTTATAATATGCACTTGATAATGTTAATAATCACTCCTATATATAAGTAAAGCCTATTACAGTCTACTAAGAGTAATCATTAAAATATGAAGTGGGGTACAAAAAACAAAAAAAAAAGCAAATGAAAACAAATCATGAGCTATTTTTCAAGTTTAGAGACTATGATTCAGTGACTTTTTCATTAAATAAGAGAATTCTTTTTTTTTCATTATTCTGTGAGAATATATATAGTTATCTTAATGCTCATTAATAAAATGTGTTGGGCACATTACAGGTTTTCAATAAATACTTATTGAACTATTTCAATAAGAATATCTTAATAACCAAAGTGGGGAAAGTCTGTCACTTTTTGACCCCATTAACCTTCTGGTTACAGGACAACATTCCAACCAACTGAACTATACCAGCCAGGGCTCAGTGTATATTTTTAATACATAACTTGTTTGGCAAATATTATGGCCACATCTGTGACAACTACCTATAAACTGTAAATATTTTGTACATTAATATTATTTATATTTGTACCCTAAATTGAACAACAAATTGAGGTTTCAGACAGAAGTCAGTTTTCTAACTTTGTTATATAAGAGTTATTACCTTAAGTACATTTATATAATGTAAAGGTTTTTGTATACCTAAAGACAATGTTTTAAGAGAAAATTTCTGATTCTTTTCTGAGTGTCACAGCTGTACACACATGCATGCACATATTTATGTACATGAGCTCAACTCGGTCCGTCATCCCTACTACTTCTTAAATTAAGTAACATTTTCATTAGTATTTGTACCAGACTGCAAGTATTTTAACAAAAACTTTGTAAGTTCTGAAAATATGTTTCAACTATTGACTAATACATTGATGATCTCAAATATATCTCAGACATAGAAAGGAAAAAACAGCACAGTGCTAGTGTTTAAGGTCTATCTGAAACAGAACAAAGCTAATAGCTCTAGTTTTTAAAAAGTCTTTATATAGTATGTGTGCAATCATTTCAATGAAAACTGAGCACATTTTCCATTTGTCTTAAAGATAACATTAAAATTAACTGATGAAAGTTTACCTTGTGGTAGAGTGAGAGATACAAAATTCCATCCTTGAAGAACTTAAAAGCTAAAAGTGCCCAAATATACACAAATATACAATTTCACCATATCGTTTCTTACCAGGTTCTCTACAATTCAGTAATTTAGCACCTGTTCTACCTATCTGTACAAACTAAATGTCAGAGATATCTGATAATTTCAATACTCTCAACTCTTAACAGAAACAGCTTGATAATAATACCCTCTGGCAGCTAATATACAATTAAATCAACAAGTATTTACTGAATTGCCTACTGCAGACCCACTATAATATAATATATCCAAAGCAATCTTAAGCAATCAAAAAGTGCTACTCACCAGCCAGTGTATAATCCATATCGAAACCAAAACACTTTATTTTCTCCATGGCTAAACTTCGGTTCACAAACACCCTGAAGAAAGGAGTAAAAAATATCTCAATTAACACTGAAAGAAAAAAAAAATTATTAAGTTTAATAGAATTATTTGGCTGTCTTTCTATAGATTCTCATTGAAATACTAATATGAAAAGTCATAATAAAATTATTCAAGTCTTTTGCATACCTTCAGTAAAATCAGGTATTATATGAAAATATGTGGATTTTCTTGTGTTTTGGTATTAACAATGCCATGTAGTCAAAACTTCAGAGAATTAGCTCTCTTTTTCTAAATATAATCCCATTAAATAAGTTTATTTCTGAGATTTTATAGTTCATTCACTCATCCATATGTAATTTATTTAATAAACAAAGGTTCATATAAACCTACCAGGTGCCACATACTAAAGACAAAAATATAGATTCATTCCACAAATATTAATATTTATTGAGCCATGGTTGGCGTGGCTCAGAGGACTGAGCCAGCACCTGGGGACCAAAAGGTCGCCAATTTGATTCCCAGTCACATTCCTGGGTTGCAGACCAAGTCACCAGTTGGGGGTGTGCAAGAGGCAACCACAACCAATTGATGTTTCTCTAGCATGTCAATGTTTCTCTCCCTCTCTTTCTTTCTCCTTTCCCCTCTCTCTAAAAATAAATAAAATAGTTTTAAAAAATACTTATTGAGTGCCTACTAAATGTCAGGAACTATGCTATGGCAGTGAGTACCTGCCCTCATGGCACTTAAACTGTTTTAACTTCGAATCTCTACCCTTGAGAAACTCCGCCTAGCAAGAGAGGGACTTAAAGCAAATAATTATAGCAATTCAGTAAATGCTACAAAATATTATGGAGGCGAGAGCACCAGTTCTTTAAAGACCAGAAGAGATGTCTGAGCTTAATCTTAAACAATGACTAGAAGTTTTTCAGTAAAACAAAGCAACAAAGGCAATCCAGGCAGAATAGCCAAGCAAGGGCAAGATCTAGAGTGAACTGTATATTTATTGTGGCTGAAACTGAGGAGTTTCCTTTGGTTTTGTTTTTGCAAAAGAAGGTTTTCTAGACGAAGAGGGGTGGAGGAAAGGGGCAATAAAAACTACGTACAGGACTTCTAGCCAAGATACAGATGTAAGTAAACACAATTCACCTCCGCGCACAACTTCAGAGAAAATTACAACTAGACTACAAAACAAATTTCATCCAGATTCATCAGAAAATTGAGCTGTATAGAAATCTGACAATTAAGGATTTAAAGAAGCCACATTCACCCGGATGGGTAGGAGGGGCAGAGATGCTAAGAGACGCAGAGAGGCAGCGGAACAGGTGGTCCCACATTCCTGTGTGGTGGATAAAAGTCGGGAGGGATACCTTGGGAGCGAGTGATCCCAGCCCCAGACCAGACCACACAGCCCAGGGTTCCAGCACCAGGAAGATAAGTTCCCATAACTTCTGGCAGCAAAAACCTGCGGGGGTAGGGGCAATGGAAGAAACTGCAGGATTCTCAAGAGACCTCTCTTAAAGGGCCCACAAAGGACTTAGGACTCACACAGACCCACCCCCCACCCAGAGACTGAGCACGAGGGCAACAGCTGGAAGGGCACAAGTGGCATATGGGGTAAAGGGAGGAGACTGAAATGACAAGCAAGGGGGTTAAGTGCCAGGGAGACAGCTTCCTCTCTGGCAATCTCCAGAGGCCAGGCAGCGGCACTGTCCCCACTCTGAGCCCTCCCCCACAAAAAGGCACAAAGCTATGAAACCAGTTGCCCTGCTCTGGCAACTACCTAAGACTCTGCCCCCACACAATTTACAGGTGCCTTTCCTACAATAGGCCACACTATAAAGACAAGGGAGTCCAAGCAGCTCTTCTCATACACAGAAACAAACAGGGAGGCTGCCCAATTGAGGAGACAAAGAAATATGGCCTAAATGAAAGAATAGAACAAAACTTCAGGAAAAGAACTAAACGACATGACTAATAGCAACCTATCAGATGCAGAGTTCAAAACACTGGTTATCAAGATACTAAAAGAAATTATTGGGAACTGCAGCAGCATAAAAGAGACCAAGGCAGAAACAAAGATTGCATTAAGTGAAATAAAGAAAAATCCACAGGGGACCAACAGTGGAGGAGATGAAGCCCAGATTCAAATCAATGATTTGGAACATAATGAACAAAAAAGCAGTTAATTAGAACAGTAAGAAGAAAAAGAATTCAAGAAAAAGAATAGAATAAGGAGCCTCTGGTATATCTCCAAATGTACCAACATCAAAATCATAGGGGTGTCAGAAGGAGAAGAGGAAGAGCAAGAAATTGAAAACTTATTTGAAAAAATAATTAAAGAAAATGTATCTAATTTGATGAAGGAAATACACACACGACCAGGTAGCACACAAAGTCCCAAACAAGTTGGACCCAAAGAGGGCCACACCAAGACACATTATAATTAAAATGCCAAAGGTTAAAAAGAGAATCTTTAAAGCAATAAGAGAAAAGCAGAGAGTTTCATACAAAGGAGTTCCCATAGCACTGTAAACTGATTTCTCAAAAGATACTTTACAGGCTAGAAGGGGCTGGCAAGAAGTATTCAAAGTCATGAAAAACAAGGACCTACAACCTAGATTACTCTATCCAGCAAAGCAAGTGAAGGACAGATAAAGTGCTTCCCAGACAAGGTAAAACTAAAGAAGTTCATCATCACCAAGCCACTATTATATGAAATGTTAAAGGGACATATTTAAGAAAAAGAAGATCCAAACTATGAACATTAAAATGGCAACAAACTCACAAGCATCAACAACTGAATCTAAAAAACAAACTAAGCAAACAAGCAGAACAGGAACAGAATCATAGATATGGAGATCATTTGGAGGGTCATCAGCTGGAAGTGGGACGGGAGAGTATGGGGGGAAAGGTACAGGAATTAGGTACAAAATAGACAGGGGGATATTAAGAAATGTATAGGAAATGGAGTAGCCAAAGAACTTATATGCATGATCCATGGGTATGAAGTAAGGGAAGGGATTGCTGGAGGGAATGGGGGTACTGGGTGGAGGGGGGAGCAAAAGAAAAATCGGGACAACTGTAATAGCATAATCAGTAAAATATACATTTTTTAAAAACCTATGAGGCTAAAAAGGTTAACAGGTGTCAAAATCATGAAGATTTTTCATACTATCAGAGAATGGACATTATCCTGCAGGCAAGAACAAATTATCAGAATCTGAAGAAATGAAATAATGATTCAAATTTCATAAAGGTCCCTATGACGACAGAGAAAACTATAAATATAATAGTACTGTATATCATCATCATGATAGTGTTAGAGGTAAATTTCAATCATTTCTGAAAATAAGTATACCCTTTCCACTGAACCCTAGCTTTGTAGCCAAAATCACTGAATGATTTATGCTTACTAACAAATCTTTTTTTTTTTTGCTTTATTCCTTAAGTGACTGTGAGAAATGAGAATGCTTTAAATCACCTAGGAAACCTGTTAAAATAAAGATGTCTGGGCTGGTCTCCCCCATTAATGTCTAGGTCAATGGTGTCCAAAGAAGAGTTAACTATACCAGGGGATGCAGAAGACTCTACTGGGGTACAAAAAGTAAGTATTAGATCTTCTACTTATATTTATTGCATCATTTTAAAATGTCTAATTTGCATATGTTTTCTACTACAAATAAAGATGGTAGTATAAATTTTAAGTAAATACGTACAGGAATGAATGTTACCCATTTTAACTGATGAAATACTCGAGAGTTTAGAAACTGCTGATCTAGGTATTGACTTTATTTTTAACTTGTCACCAACACATATATTACTATTTTAAATTTTAATAGAAAATATTTCCTCTCATTTTAAAATGTATGCACCAATTTTAAATGCAGACAATCAAACATTAACTTAAAAGTACTTGAATGAAGAACTTAAAACCAGTTGGCCCTTGAATTCAGAACTTTTCTGAAAAATATAAAAATCATTACTTATTTCACAGTTTACTATGCACACTAGATTAGCTCTATAAAACTCTTAATTCCTGAGAGAGATGTTATATAAAATATTTATATTTTCTTTCCCCCAAAAAACCTAGTCTTCTGGAAAATCAATATTTACTTTGTCTTAGGTTAAAGGTGGAGGAAAGGAAAAAAAGAAAGTAACACAGTGATTTTTACCTTTTCATCTCATGGTATCCATAAAATAATTACTAAAATTTGGCAGCACATCAGTAAATATATTTTTTTGCCAATCTGACAAAAAAAAAAGTTATAATTCTGACTGAATCACACCAGACAGCTATTGTGTTGGCTGTGGCCATTTTTTAATTTGACAATCTCAGGGAAAAGAGGTAAGTGCTCCTGACTAAATAGTCAGGTATTGCAGGTTTTAAAAATACTTGTGGCCCATGGCTTGAAAATTGCTAGAGTAACAGATAGTTGAAAAATACAGGAAACTAGAAAATACATGACACCCACCCAAACCTTTCTTAAGCATACCACTACTCTAAATATATGTCTACTTTATTATCATTTCTCCCAGTTACATAAATCTTTTTGCAGTCACAATAGGGGTAAAAGAAACAAAGTAATGTTTCTAACTCTGGAAACAATGTTACCACTGAAGCCTAGGCTTTTCAAATACACTTTCAATTCAGGCTAGAGGGCCAACTGGATCAAATCCTTGCTCAGAGCCCAAACAGCTGACGTGCCTAAAATATTCTGTGGGAATTCAGGCAGGAATGACTGGGAAGATTTTTCTTCCTTGTGATACAATCTGGGACAGATATGTAGGACCACATAATAAAATAAACAGCTTTGTTTCTGGTAGAAGAATGCTGTGAGCTGGTTTCTGGAATGGTGAAAATCATGGAAAAGAGATTTGGCTAATATCAATCAGTGCTGAAGGTAGAAAGAAACTACCTGTATATCAGTAACAAAAATCTGTTGTTTTTTATAAAAACAATCACTCCTAAATATCTAAAAATCATACTCTTTCCTCTTGACTAGTCACTTTATTCAATCAATGCATTTGTTAAATG